GGGGGGGGGGGGGGGGGGGGGGGGGGGGGGGGGGGGGGGGTGCAGAGGAAGGGATGGGTGGTGCTGAGGGAGAAACATCCAGCGGGATCTGCGGGTGGATTTGTCAAGATGCAGGTTTGCAGGAAAGCTCACGTTCACACTGACATTTTGTTAATTTGTGACGATATTAACGAGTCGATGCAAGGAGCGCTTCAAAATCTGGTTTGTGGAGGTGAGATTTATCATAGGGCGAAAATGTAAGGAAAACATTTGAATGGCAAGCCTTTAATCTACTAAACACAATTAAAATGAGTCTGAAATCAACTAAATTGCATTTTCTCCACTTTCACATTATCAGACTGCATCTGGCAGCTATGAATTGTGACCCAAATGCTTCTTGTTTCAACACTGTGAGGTTGTCCTCGCACTAACCTGAAAACTCACTTTATCAAAAATTCTCTTTGCGCACATTCCTCGATATTGCTGCTGCCAGACATTGATCCCATAAACTGTAGAGATGTAAAAGCAAAGAGACATTTAACTCACCAGAGAGACGACTGACAGCAGCAGAGCGGCAGCCCACAGACATGTGGTCTTCATGCCTCCTTGTGGAGCGTCCCCCCTCATGTCAAACTGTCCTTGATCTTCTTTAGACGCAACACAAAAAAAACCTCCCTTTGCTGAACTTGTAGCAGAAATATAAGAGTGAGGAGAGGCGGTCCTGAGGCGGGAGAGGGGAGATTCAAGGGGGGGGGGGGGGGGGGGGGGAGGGTCAGATGTCTGCCGTTTAAAAAAACGCCTCAAGTGTCTTCTGGGGTGGTTTGAGTTGCACGGTTTGGAGGCGCTGTGGCGAGAACCGAGGTGTTTGTACATCTGAGTGTCAGTGTGGAGGGATGTTCTATATAGTGCGCTTTGAGGTTCAGAGAGAGAGAGAGGGAGAGAGGGAGAGGGAGAGAGGAGGGATGGGGAGACAAATAGAGTGAGCGAGAAAGGGGGGAGCAGAGAAGGAGGTTCATATTATTGACTTTTGAGAGGCAACTTTTCTTTTAACGTCGTCGGGGGCTGACATCTAGTGGCCGTCTGCTGCAGTGGCTTTGTTCTTGAGACGCTGTGGACATCGGTCGTGGTGATCTCATGGTGGGAAGGTGACACGTAAGCTTTCAGTGACGGCTCATTCTCTTACCAGACCCCAACAAAGCACAGCTATTTAGTCTACATGGAGTTTAGAAGTTTAAAAACTGGACTTGTAGTGTTTATTTTTAAGTTAATTTGTTAAGAATGATGAATCACTCATGACGTAAGTGACTCATTAAGATTAGGCTATTTAAGTTTTTAAGCCAAATAAAGCTAATTTATTCTGTGATTCTTTATTTTTAAATTAGGTTTATCAGGTTTTTCCCAATCACGTTTATTATGTGTTTGTTTTTGCCACACAAACAAAAAGTAAATGACTAAAACTAAACTTCTACTAATTATTTTTAAATAAATAAATAAAATGAAGTATAATGATGATTAAATAATGTCTAATTGACATTTTGGGCTTTTGTATAAATTAAAAAAATATGTTCAAGGTAACGATTTAATACAAAATTTAACACAACTGCCAAAAAAAGCAGAATGTGAAATACAGTTCCCACTTAGCTGCAGACTTTTATTGAATATTTAAAAGCATGATAGTTCAATTAGTGCTGTAAAAACATGATGCCATGTATTTGTGATAACAGCTGTTTTTATACCTGATCAGTCAATTAAACCTGACATCAGTTAAAGAGGACTTTGTTATCGCAGGTTAAAGTTGGACATAATGCGACGCGATCTTTTGTTTGACCCGTCCTGCCTCTTTAAAACTCCTTCCCACTTCATGTCTGGTTCTAATCTCCTCTAGATTCCTCGAGAGCCACAGAACACTGAATACGATTGCTCTGGGAGGTTGAGAAGCACTGATCGTGATCACTAGATGTACATTGCAGACCAGGTGAACATTGTGCACATCCTCAGTTTTGGTGCAGAAAAAAAGCCGTAATGAAGGAAAAGGATTCGCTCTCTGCACACTGAAGATTCCTCGCTCTGGAACATGTCATCTTCTGCCTGACTTGTTGCATCAGACAGAAGACGTTTGAAATGTTGCACTAATGAAAACTCTGAGGTGTGTGTGTGTGTGTGTGTGTGTGTGTGTGTGTCTGTGTGTGCGCAGACAGCCTCTCCTTTACCTTGTTGATACATTAACACTGACATGTAAAGTCTGTGACCCTTAAATAACAGAAGTTCTCATCATCCCTAATTTTAACCTTTAACCTTTGAATCAAAATTGTAAATTGAACATTCATTTGTAAATGTAGCTTAAATAAACCTTAAATTAAAGCTATTGTTACCGTGAGAGCAGACTGAGCGTCGTTTAGGGACTCACTTTTTTGGCTCGTACTTGTTTTACTTCTATAAAAGTTCTTTATACAATATTCAGAGCATTATAAGATAAATATATAATGGAGTGTTGTCTACCTGAGTAGATCATTAAATAACTCTGTTTTAATCTGAGCTACTCTGTGCTTTGTTTGCAGAGACGGGTCGCTGTGCCTTTTAGTAGCGCCTTTTAGCTCCCATAGACTTATAGTGATGCCTGTAACTCAGTGGAAGGTAAATTAACTTTCCAGTAACAACACAAGAATATCTTTTATTTAAGTTATTGGGTCCTAAAAGTTAGAAAATACAATAAAAGCTGAATCCGGAGTTATTGTCCTTGTGAACGAGGCTGTAGGGAGGGCTGGGTGGCGGAGTTAAAGGAAGCGCAGAGCACTTCCTCTGTGGGTCCAATGGATGCAAACGATCGGCGGAGGATCCGTGTAATTCATTCTGTGTTCTACGCTTTGAAGGAGCCTCCTGTGCTGAAGCTAGTTCTCTTTCTACACCCTCGCTGATAACACCGTCCCAACCGCTCTCCGGTTTCCCTCTTAGATCAGCAGTCTGCACTGTGTGTGCTGTTAGCACCGTTAGCGCCGTGTTGGGAGGCCTTAGATATGCTCTGAAGTTCAAATTTCAGCACCTTTCGGTGACTTAATTCATGTCTCTTCCACATTAAAGGACGTCTAGTGATATTCTTTATTTTACTCATTGTCAACAAATCCCATGAAAAGACAAAAAAATCCAGAGGACGAACCATCGCTGGTATCTTTTCATGGGGTTTGTTGACGATAAAGAAAATATGTAAGAAAACACGAGCCGTATCCTATAATGCCAGTTTTGAACATTAAGCTCTCTTGTGAACATATAAATAAAATTACAAAGATGTCTGTGTGTGTTTACAACCATGTTGTTATTTATTGTCAGTAATTCTTCCCACACACGTAAACAACCTGTACAGACACGGCCGAGCCTTTCCTCTTTTCGGTTTTTTTTTTTTTTTTTCACAACATACAACTTGCATCATGATCACAACAATCAGCAATATCACACACCCACTTCGCAATATTCAAACTAAACATTTTCTGTGCAATACAAAATGAATGTACACATACTTAGATTTTTTTTTTCTCCAAAAAAATAAAAAAATTGCTGTTATTTACAAAATCCCACAAAGAAAAGTAAACATTCTCCACACCAGTTTGCTTTTACGTTGAACTCTTATTGTTATTAACACGCATCGTTTCTTTGTACAGATCGTTTCTTTAAATCTATATTTCACTTCATGTAGTGACGACAGAGCACCTAAGATACGCATCACTATGTGAAAACCTGTTAAAAACTCAGGTGTACTTTGCTAAGTGACCCCAAAAGAAAATGTAGTTTTCTTTATGTGTACATGTAATATAATGTGCCCCATTCAAGTATTAATACTCTATTACAGCACTGTTAGTACTTAGTTATCGTCAGTAAGGCAGAAATGACATTTGCATGACATGAATGGTTTAAATTTATTGTTCTTTCTTTTTCTTTAATTGCTGCAAAGTTTCAGCTTTTCCACAATGGTAAACAAAAGCAGAGATTTTTTTTTTTTAATTGAATCTGAATTTTTATGGGTAAAAATAACTTTAAAGCCGGCGATTCATTAAATGAAGTCCCCTGCTGATATCATAGATAAATCTTTAATGATCTGATCTGGGCAGGAATAAAAGTGATAACACCAGACAAAATCTACAAACCACAAAAGGTACTTTACTACAACCCAAAAAATCAGTTGTGAGAAATAAACTCTATACATATATTCACTTGAGATCCACATCTGTTTTGTAGAATGTGACATCAAAATATCTTTTGCCGTTGCCGTTGTTTTTCTTTGAGTGTTGGTAGCTGTTCCGCTGCTCGGTGGGCTTCTCTGTGGAAGAGGCAGTGTTCTATGGCAAGAGAAGGTAGAAGTCACATGTGCATATCATGCTGCACTAATATAGTGCAATGTAGAGCCTGAAACAAAGAGGGTGGAGGCAGAGAGGCTGTAGTTTCCATAAACAACTCCATCAGATCTGTTTATCCCACAAACACAGGCCCGTGTGCCTCTAAATCAAGCAGAAAAAAGAGAAGAAATGCCTCCCTTTTGTTGAAGACCGTGGAAGAGATTTGAGTCAGAACCCAGTTGAGGATTGAGAAAAAAGGAATCCAAACCTTTTTATGGAGATTTTCCTCTCCCTCCTCCTCTTCCCCGCGGTGACTTTTGGCAACGTACGAACCGGCAGAGCATCCTAAGCCTCCAGCTACTCAGCATTTTTAGGGACAAGCGGAAAAGCGCGGGGGAAGAGTTGGAGCTTCAGAGACAGTGTCTTCTGCATCCAGACTCCTGCAGCTGAATCTCTTCTTTTAAGTGGATGTGAAAAAGATAAATAAAAAGGCATTTCATTGAACACGGTGGAAGGTCACGAAGGCTCTTGCAAAAGAAAATACTTTAGAACGGGTGATTGAATGGAGCTCTACTTGAAATGGATAAACCCCACCACTGTCTCTGCCGTAAGAGGATTTACTGTAATGTCTCCGCTCTGTGACGTGTCCATTCACGCTGCAAACATCCGTGTCCCTCCCCTCGACGGCGTGATGAAAGTGGGTCTCCGTCTCCTGGAGGACTACATGTCCGTGTCCCCGTCGTAGGCCAGAGTCAGAGGTTTTAGTCGGTTGTTCTGTTGCCTCTGTCTCTGAGGTCTCTTTGGCTTTTTGCTGTGTGGAAAGATGAAAACAGAGTCAGAGTGACGCTCGAAATAATCCCCCGATCCCGGAGTGAACCGCCACACCGACTGTGTAGTAACAGCACCTGCACTAGTGCGTTTACTGCTGATCAGTCTAGAAAGTTGTCTGTTTCTCTCATACTTTCACTGTTCATGTAGTTTGCGGCCGCTGCACCTTTAGAGGACACATCTCTGAGCTGTCAGTTGTGGATTGTATACAATTTGGCTTCTTGTAATAAAGTGTATATTAAATACATTTTACATCCATCTCTCTAGAGCATAGTTCTTAAAAGGGAAAAGTGCTTCTAATGGCAATTTACTTTTTTATGGCGCACTACACTACTTCTAATCCTGTATTGCTGTAATCTCTTCTTCTTTAAACCTGCAACACTGAGAAGTCCATCTGCTCAGCAAATCCACCTTTGTGTACTAATGAAGAAACGTTGGACCTCGACTCTTGACTGTCATGAATATGTATTCCATTAAGAAGTCAGAATAGCATGTCGAAGAAAGACATTAATAGTAATAGTATATTACGTCATAACAATATCATTAAAAAGTCACAATATAGTCATAATAAATGTTAGCTAGTGCTTATATACATTTCGTTGGATAACTTTGCAGTTTATTGTGAAAGTGAGACGGAAAATATATTTAGTTGTATTTATGCACTTTCACCCTGAATCGTGTCCTTGTTTTCTGAAACTCTGAAGAAGCGCTGCTCTGGAGAACGGCTGTGAAAGACAGAAAAACTAATATTCAGTTCTTGTCTCTTTTGTTAAATCTAATTTGTTCCCATTTTGTATCTGAAGTTTCAGCCACTTATTGGTGCAGAACGGTCCAATTATTACTTCTAAACACAAATAATATGTTCACGAAACATCTCCCCAAAGAGCACAGAGACGTGTGATCTCCAGACGATGGAAATGCTTAGAAATATAAATTCTGGAAAGTTGTTAGACGATCAAAATAAATGTCTCTGAAGTTTCTGGGATGTAATAAACCAAATGTAAGCAAACATTCAGACAGACGGCAACAGTATTGGCTTTCTCTTACTGATTGGACTACTATGATATAACATAACGTAATGTAATGTAAACTATGGCAGCTGATGATTGCTTTTATAACCAATTAGTTTTCTCAATTCAACATTTTGTCCATAACATTTTCAGCAAATGGTTGATAATGCTCTTTGCATTCACCCAGAGCTGCGAGTGACGCACTGTACAACTTCAGATCAACAGTCCGACCTCCAGAAGTACCGCTTCAATATCATGCAAGTCAAAGTAAAACTGCAAACGGTCACATTTAAATAAATAAATGGATGAATGTTGATCAACAAACTAATAATATTACTAAAGAAATGTAAGAATGTACACTCTAGGAAGCTGAATACAGAGAAATGACATCAATACGCTTCATGTGTAACGAGGTTAATGAGCTCTTGATTTGGCGGGAGATGAAATGGGAGGAAATGAAGATGGAATGTGTCGCTCTACTTCCTCTTACAGCCACAAGGGGGCAGCATGACATCATGCAGCAGCATCCACGTCTCTGTTTCCTGCATTCATCCCCATGTGTCTGCTGCTGTAGACTGATCTGTGCTATACGTACTACTATACTACAGCTCTAAATAATCTATATTACAATTATATTAACGAACGGAAACTTGGTGTAAACACCGTGTAGTTTACATCTTTGTCTGAACACACAATGTGATGTGTAAGTGTTCACAGGCTCATTCTCCTGATGACATTAAGAGTTACCCAGTGGAGGAAAGTACTTAAGTACAAGTATGTTGAAACTGTGCGTGAGTATTTATATTTTCTGCTTCTTTATACTTCCACCTTATTTCAAAGGAAAATATTGTACTTTTTACTCCAGTTTCTCTTTAAACTTGTAGTTACATGTTGTAAAACATGTAATATGCTACGATGCAGCACTATACTACTAATTTAACGAGTAGTACACCAAGGAGTACACCAAGCAGTATACCAACTGGCTCCACATTAAAATGCTCTTAAATGTATTTTTTAGTTTTGATACTGAAGTACGTTTTGCTTCTATAAATAAATTAATGAATGCATGAAGTTGTGTGTAGTGTCTATATCATCTGTATGTTGATATGTGTATATCTATGTTTCTGTGTACTAGCTGTGAAATCATACTCCCTATGGGACAATAAATATACTTCTTTGGTGTTTTTTTTTAAATACCTCCTCCCTCCGCTGGTGTTACCAAGGGATACTATGCTAAGCTAATATGCTAATACAGTACATTCTGTTTACACCCTCTGGTTAAAGGGACCCACGATTGTTTGTTTGATTGCTCACATGAGACATATGTTAAAATATATCTCATCGTGTGTGATAAAGGACCATATGTGGATTCAAATATGTTAGCGATGAGATATTTGCCATCTTTGAGTTAACGTAAACAGTGACAACTCTAATGTACCAGTATGCTTACACAGCCCAAAAAAAGAATCAATGACAATATGTGTGAGTTGCTTTGAGCATGAATCAAATGTTTAAGGTCGGAACACAATCAGATGTGGGTCACTTTTAAGAGCTGGTATAAACAGAACATACTAAAACAATCAACCGGCACCACCATCGACGTGCTCTACGCGCTCTAAAGGTCTACACATACTAAACTAAATGTTCCTGGGTGGTTTGTCCTCACCTGCACCTTCACTCAGCTAGTCGGGCAGGACATGTGACACCTTAGAAAGTCAAGGACTGCAGGTGCTTATACAGGGGAGGGGAGGTGGGGTAGACCCTCCACATCCTCATTAGCTGCTGCTGCTACGGCTCTGAGCCAGCTCTTGGCAATCGGGACAGGTGTAAATCATCTCATGTGCATTTTGGCCCATCAAGACCGCCATCCCATTGGCGTCAGACTCTTGGGCCTTAAGAGAGCGATACACTTTGGCACAGGAGCTGCTGCTCTCACACAAGAGGACGGCATGAAGGAAGCAAACAGGAAGTCAATAAAACAAAAGACGGTGGTGTGAGGGTGGGTGGAGGACAGGGAGACTCAAAGGTTGAGGGACAAATGGTTTTTTGGTTTCATGAATGAGGATAATGATAAATAGGGGGAATGAAACTCGTCAACTCACCAAGCTAGGTATATCATAGACACTATGAATATGAGGAGCACAAAGGCTCCGGCTGCTACACCATACACCCACATCTTCAGCTTCCCATCTGTGGAGGAGGAGGCTCGTCAGTTCGTCTGTCTCGTTACACTGACAGCCGTAAAAAGCTGCAACAATTCATTCTGTGAGAGCTTAAACATGTCGCTGCTGCTGCTGCTGCTTCTTCTGTCTCCCAGGCGCACTTTATAGAAAATGCAGCACGTAATTTACAGTGTGAATCATATTGTATGAATCAGGTCCCATTAAAACACTTACTGGTTCCTACTGGTACAGTGGAGCAACAACATTAACAACAGAACATCTTCTCATGATTGGATTAAGGTCCAGAGGTTCATCGGAGGCTAATTTCAAAGCTAAAGTTAAATCAACTGATAGGAATCATGTAAACACAGACAAACCGAAGACAACAGGCAACATATTTTCATGCTAAACTTGCACACTTTTTACTAAAACATTTTTATAATCTTTTAGTCAATTCTCAGTATCTCCAAGAATAACGAGTTCAAGTTACGCAAAAATAAAAAGATGTCTTCTTATTTAGATATCGAGCTCCTCGACAGTTTGTAGTAAAAGTCGTTAAAATTTGCTCCACGTTTACCAGCTGCAACATTACTGATGCTCACACATTAATGGATCAATGATTATAATCCAATAATGAAATATATGTTATTGTGAAATAACAGTACTTCTCCTTCTGGTACTTTAATGCTCGTTCTTCTGTACTTTAGGAACTGTAGGATAAAATGCATTCCTCCTTTTATCTACAATGCCCAGTTCTTTTCTACCACTGTACCTACGTGCGAGTCTTTCATTGGTACCTGGTTCATACAATGACATTAAACTGTAGAAGTTATAAGTATTACCTTTTTTCATCAGGAAAAAACACATTTCAGATCTTACTGTAATGAAGAATACTAGCAAGAAGTGTGCGGCAAAAACAAGCAAACGTTTGGAAGATAAACGATACGAGGGTTCCCGCCTGCTCCTGACAGACGTTAACTCAATCTGTTCTGCACTCTTGCATCCTAAACGTTTCTGTTGCTGTCATGCACCATCAGTCACGACACAAGTGTGCAGATGCAGTTCTCAAATGTTAATGTAGCAGCAGCTCAGAGCAGGTTCCAACGTGCACCAGAGCCGACCGGAACACACTGACAACACGTCTGATGCATCTTTTGTTTTCAATGTATGCTAGCGTGTTAATGAGACCAAGTCTGCCGAACACAAACTGAATGTAAAGTGCATTCTGCTGTTGTCATGTGAAAACCTCTCGGCTTTACGCCTTAACTTTACCTCAAGGATTACACGCTGCTCTGCAGAAAATAAACCTTTTCCCTTCAGATGAACTTAAACAGACATAGTGGGCACTTGTTTTTCTTATCGAGCAGTGAAAGTAGGAATATTCTAAAGTCTACAAGTTCCTGACGGGTTCTTGGGGGGTTTTTCTTTATCGAGCGCGAGCGCCCAAAGACGGAGGATGTTGTACGAATGTAGGACAGATTGTGAAGCCATCTGAGGTGATCTGTGATATTGGGCTGTACTAATTCATTGAATTGAACCTGAACTTAAAACTTGCACACAAATAAAAGGCCTTCAGGTAATGATTGCAAGTGGTAGCTTTAGAAATGCTGTGTGCTTATTTACCACCATCGATCTCGGTAAGATGACTATTTGAGTGCATTACAGGTCTGATTTACAGTCGTCATTACCTGGAAGTGTTAGATTTTATCTTTGTGAGGTAATAAAACTCTCAAACTAACATTTCTCAAAATATAAACGAGCCACGTCGGTATCCTTTTGACTTCCACTACGTTTCTGACTCTTTGTTATTTGGCGGTGTTTGTAATCGCGTGGTGACGGCTGGGAGATAGGAGCCTCTGAAGAGTACATTAAGGCTGAGTTAGTTCCACAAACATGACAGTTAAGAGATTAACGGTTTTCATTTGACAGCAACAAAACACAATTCTTTACGCCTGGATGTGTCTCTTGCATTTGTAATTGTGTTGTGAGCACTGTGAAGAGAAGTCATTTGGTAAGAACTAGCGTACATCGGGACTAATCGTGAGTGTGGTCATGTGGTCTGACCTGGTCCGTAAGGCTGCAGGTACCAGGTCCGCCCGGTGCGTCCAGGCTGGATGGTGGATGGCGAGGTGGGGTTAATGGCACGACTGGTCTTCACATCCCCCTTCTTGTCCCCCGCTGTGGGGATCTCCAGGATCGGGATGGGGGCGCACTGGTCCAGCTGCCCGGTGGACGACAGCACCTCTGTGAAGCCCTCCTCGCACATGCATATACCGGCCTGCAGGGGGCAGCGCAGAATCATGTTTGGTTTTAACTGCAGCTACAGTACATCAAGGAAGTGATGGGCCATGTCTGCATGGAAGGGAATGAATCTAGAGGGGGTTGGTGTGGTAGAGTCACCGACCTGACACTGTTTAAGATAAATACATCAGCTTCCAAAACCATTCAGAGCATGTCTGTGAACTGTATTTATTATACGGAGAGGTGTTTCTGTTATTTGGCCTAAAACAAATGGGTGGACAAAATATTAGAAACACAAACTACATCCTCCAAAGTGGTCGTACATTTGAATCAACGCCTCTCTAAAAGGGTTTCAACATAAACTGAATAGAACATTTATTAAGGTAGGATTCATCGCAGCACTGCATTTGTTTTCGCTGTACCCAATAAACTGGAGTGTATTTGTCGTGCCGGTCCGGGGATTGAACCGGTGACCTCAGAAGTCCTACGCTGACATCTCATCAGATGATTGTGACCTGCTTTTACTCTGTGGTTATTAAGTCTGTCTGCTCTACAAACCAATACGGCTGATACCCAGCCTTTACTGCCAGTTTCAAAACATACAAGCTATCAGTAAGGACAAACCTTTAGATCCACCAGCTGCTGTATCTGGTGAGCACAGACACTGTTATCCTCATTTTGATGCCGCACGGCTGAGTGACACTGCGAGAAAATGGCTTTTACATCTTCATGCTGCCATCATTTCATTCCCTGCTGCATTCAAATTAAATTGTGGCAGCAGTGTGTCACGGTGAGTAGAGACACTGACATTCACCCAGAGAACCTGTGCTTCCATGTTCACGTCTATAGCAATGTTTTTACGCTGTTTACGCTGTTCTCTACAAGATAATCTATTCATTCTTTTGTTTTGCTGTCAGGACAGGTGGTACGAGAGGAAAGAGCCGCTCACCTCACTGCAGAAGGACTTCGGCATGAGACAGGGAGGCTCACAGGAGCTGTTGTCCACTGGAGGGTTCAGAGGAGGACAACCTCCTGTGGGTGAGAAGACGACAGGATCAAAGTCATCAGGTTTTTAGGGAACGCAATGAACATCAACACCATCTGTGTGCTGTGGTAGATGTGCTGCTCTCAGTACTAGTGTCACCTCAAGTAAGAACATGTACATGTTTCATATTATTTTCTTAAATAACCCGCATGCATCTATAAATCAATATAGCCGATGTAGCCAGGTGTACGACATGTTCATGTGTAATGCAGAGATGAATAGCTGCAGTCTGCCATCGCCCACCTTCGCTTCTTATAGAAATGTCCCTGGTTGGTTTTTTTTTAGAACAGTTTGTTATATTTCTGACATATTTCGTGTCAATTCTACCTCCCACATAAAACCGACGCTCACTGATATAGACTCAACGTTGAGCCGTAGAGCTGCTGTAACGTTTCAGATGAAGTCAGCTTCACTGCTAATCATTTCAAACAGTGTCGAGGAATGTTTGACTGTTTTAAATAAACCACCAAGGTGCACTTACAACCTCTCGCCACCAACACATACGGACTGAGGTTTGTTTCCTCTTTGTTTTTAGAGCTGTAGTCTAATAATCTCTAGTTCCAGCATCTCAAACGTGAATATTTGTGCCGTCAGTGTTTTATGATTAAACTGCAACTCAACAGCTGCTTACCGGTAACGTTGAGTCCGTCGGAGCGCTGGCACCAGACTGAGGGCCGAGTGGAGTTGAGACGACCGCTGCTGAACCATTTGTACTCGTAACATTCGCCCCCTGAGAAGGAAATAAAAAAGAATCAATATCTATAGAGACTGTACAGTGGGAGTCTGCAGTGAAGACCATTAATCATGAGAGTGACGGATTAATAAAGCGGCTGCTAAGTTATGGTTCTATAATAGGCTGCTGTCACATAATATCACTATCAGTGTGTCTTCACAGAAGGGTCCAGTTCAATGTTTTAATCTTCACTAAGAGCTTTTGCTTAATGACTTTCTATCAATGCTATTATGACTTTATCAATATCTCCATCAGTGCAGTAAATGGCCATATTTCCCTGTGGAGGTCTGTGTAACCAATCATCGGTCCGGCCCATTCGGCTAGCGTAAAATTAACAATTTAACCTTGAACAAAGGAAAGATCTATTCTCCGCCGGCCTGGCTACACTGCTCCGGCCGATGGCGCGGCTCTATCTGCAGCTTTCACAGGACCAACTTCACCCGATACTTTCTTCACTTTTCTCATTTCTCACTCTTTCCTTGCCTTGGTACAGGAGAGGCTGTTTCTGAAATGTGCTAAATTATCATAAACAAACACGTAATACTTGTTATTCAGCGACAGGAACAACGATGTTCTTTTAATAAGCAAAGTAAGCACGCCCGCAGCCTAGCTGCACCTCTGCAATCACGTTATCTGGCTACATAATATGCTGTATGATAAATTCAATTCAATACATTTTGTAAACATACGACATCCTCTGTCCCGGGACCCTCACATTGGAACAGAACACCCCCAAACAAAACCCTTTAACGGGGAGAAACCGTAGGGGGAGCAACAGAGGAGGATCCCTGTGATAGATGTGCACACAATGAACAACATATTATAATTACAACAGCCAATGCATATGGTATACATTAGTAATATAATGAGAGTAGTTAATAACAGCAGCAGTGGGTATAAAAGTATAATAATGATAATAAAAGCATGTATTATTAATATTATGCACATAAGCATAGAGACTAGCTAACTGCCATGTTTAGCTGCTTCGTCTGCTCGTCTTTTATCTGAGAAAACATTTAAAAAATGTTGAAATTAACTTGTAAGATGAACGGACTGAGATTTGCATGCGGGGGAGGGGAAGAGGGAATCTCGCATGTTCAGTAACAAACCTGTTGTGCAGCAACAACCGTGTACGTGTTGAGGAAGTGGGTCAGATGATTGATCGCGTAATGGTTTTTATTTGTGGCTGCAAAGTGGAATCACTTATAACATCTCACATTTTATTTCATAGAAAAGAGATAATCGCTCTTATTAACTACTAGTTCAGTGTGAATGTGTATGTACAGATAACAGGCATGCTGTCCTCCGCATGTGGCAAAACAAACCGTTCTGACCCGCCGAGCAGAAAGAAGAGGAGAGACAGGAAACATGTGGGAGAGAGACGGGTATCAGATGCAACACAGATCTCCACAGACAGGACTCAAAGCGCTTATGTGGTTTGTGCCACAACCATTAGGCTACTGGGGCGCCCACACAAAATTAATTTTTAATGTAACTGTTTGATCCCCCCTCCCCCATCTCCTTAGCCTTCCTTCCTCCGTCATAGCCCTCCTTCTTCCCCTGCCTCCAAGCTCTCTTCCTCCTGCGCCTTCACTGGTCTTGCCGGGCCACTCCCCCCTCCTCCCCCGAGCCTCGAGTGATGCTGTGAAGCACGGGGGTGTCTGCTCTACAGAATGAGCCGGTGGCTAACGTGTGTGCTGCGCTTTGGTGGTGGTAGTGACTCAAGGCCCACGCTGCACCTAATGGGTGATTAACCCGCCTGGGGAACCGCACAGATCACAACAGTAAACGAGCACACGGGGGGTGTTTCCTCCGTTTGGAGATCTGACTCGAGGAATCCCAACTGGGAGAGCGGCGATGGACCGAGCGTACAGATGGAAACACAGAGTGATGGCTGTAGTTAGCGCTCTAGTTTTCCCCCGTAATGTTTGGCTACCGAGGTGGATCAGTGGTTTGCACCGTCACCTGGCAGGAAGGAAAACCTTCATCCGATTCCAGCCCGCTAATCCCTTCTCCCCACACTCAACATGCTCTCTCTGTGGGTTTCTCCTGGTGTTCCAGTTTTCTTTCACAGTCCAAACATGCAGCTTCAGATGGATGGAAGCCTAAACAGCCTGCAGGTATGACCCTGAATGCAAGTGTCGTTCTGTGTTAGCCCTCTGATGGAGCTGATGAATTCTCCATCACGTTTCCCGGCTGCACTTCTCAATGATCATGCGTATTAGGACTATGCGGGCGAAGCAAAATGAATAGATGAATCAAAGTTTGGGGCCGCTGGCTTGCTTGCGAGCTAATTTGCATGTACGGAAATGAGCTAGCACTTATTAGAAGTGCTCTCACCTGAGCAGGGCTGAGACTCCCACGCCTGGTCGGGACAGAGCTGCAGGTTTTCTGGCTCCTGGGCCAACACGGCTCGAGAGCGAACCTGAACCGAACAGAAGTCCACGCCGGCCCCCTTCACGCAGATGCTCACGCACGAGCTCCAGTCCGACCACTCCATCAGGTAGCATTCACCTGCAAGGGAGAAGAGACGAAGTACATCGGATGAAATGTAAGACAATAAAACAGCACCGTAAAAGTCTGAAGCCACTACCTCCAAACTACAGTGAGGTGTGTGTTACCATCAATTAGATTAGATGTGCAATAACCAAACTTACATATTCAGCTTGGTCTTCATAAAGGAATTAAACACGTTGAGGTTGGACACCTCTATGACCTGTGCAGAAATTGCTCAGTCTGGCTTTGAGTCATATCACAAATCTTTTAATTTCCTGTAAACAAGGGTGCAACCTCAGATCCTCAGGGCGGCCCGTCCAGCTCCTCCACAGTTTAGGACTGAACGGTGTTTTTGCCATCAGGGCCCCAATTGACGGAGTCAGTACTATCTCAGAATTCACATCTAGATTTAACAGATCAAATGTCTTTTAATTAAATTTCACATTTAAAGGCGTTAAATTCCAGCCCGCCTACGTAAACAAAGCACAGAGAAGCTCGGATTACAACGCACACAGAGGGAAATCGACTCCATCACTCCACTATATCGCTAAGAAATTAGCTGTTAAATTAATATTCTGAAATTTGAATTTAGCACCTTTAATTTACTTGCATCCTCAGTCTCTTGTTATATCTTCTTGTATTACTCATTTTCATAGCTTTTAAATTACTTTTAAACTATGCAAAGATATCTGCATTGCAGCGTCAGTGTGGGTGTCCTGGTGAAAATCAGATCTTCAACTTTGGCAGTGCTAAAGCAATACTTCACTGTCCATCTATGGATGAGAATGGATTCATCTGGGTGAGGTGTGCACGTCGTATTGCGACGGTTGAGATGAAGAGTTTCAGGAGGAGGAAGGTGTACGTGCGAGATGGGAGTGCAGGTTGTTTTTGATCACAGCTGACAAGTGCAGCTCATCAAACAGCAGGAGAAATAGACCACGGGTCAAGGGTGGCAGTGTATTAAAGTGTGTGTGTGTGTGTGTGTGTGTGTGGATGCAACCTGCCAGAATTGCCAAGCTGTCCCCGGTCCTGCACAAACAGCCCTTGAATTTCCTCCCAAACCGCACCACACTACGTCCGTGCACAGAAACCGCTCCGTGCTTGTGATTGCTGTTTGATACTTCAGCTCTCCTGCAGTTTGGCAGAAGGGGGTTGGACTGACTTGTTATCTAGGGCAGCGTTTCTCAGTGTTTTCCATCTCAGGGACCAGCAGACATCTGATGAGCTTTTTTTTTTTTTTTTTCACAAAATGAGGAATCTGCCAGTGGAAACACATGCCACACACTCTCTAAGCGTCAAATGAAATGAAACCGTGGTAAAGGAGAACATTTCTTGTCCTCTACGTTCTAGAGAGAGTGAATGATGAAAGATCAATGATGAACCAAAATAGACACATATCACTTTTGGAAATGAACTCCACATTTGTATTTTGTCTCTTGGCAGAAGCAAGAAACAATAATGCTCCCTTCGGGGACCGCTGACACGGAGAATAAGAGATTTATATTTCAGCTGCACTGTGTGTGAAAACACACCCTTATTTATCAGGCTCAATCACAAATTGGGTGTTCGGTTTCCCATCTTTTCCCTTTGAAATGTTTGTAGATTTGCCCTATTTACCCAAAAGAAATGCTGATATTCACGTCTTTATGTGCAGCACAATGTGGAGAGTGTGAGGAGCATTGCTGCGGTTGTGTGGAGGGCAGTAAAGCGTTGGCGGCCTGATGGACAGAGTCCAGCTCACCTGTCTGTCTGCCCTCCACACTGCAAAACTACAGAAAACCCAGCAGCTGACAAGCCTCCGTCACAACACCTGACAACCAGTCATCAGATCCAGAACGTGATAATCCCATCTGTGAGATTCTCTCTCTCTCTTCTTTTTCGGGGAGGGTTGAGGGTCGACAGCCTCAGTGCAATGCGGATATCGTGCTGTTTTTTTGCAGTGCAGAGCAGAGACATCAACCGTCAATCAACGCGGGGTCAGTAGGCTACGTTGATGCTATCGGACTTATATCTTATAGAGATGAAGGCTTCAGTGGACACAAAGGTTATAGCTGCTTTTATTTGAGATAAATGATCGTATTTTATAGCAAGGCTGCAACATCGGAGCATCAAAATGGTAAATTCAGGTACAAGTACATTATTATTACGACACTGCAGGTTATCACCAATCTGCTAATACTGGTCTCGTTCACTCATTCATTCCAACTGCCTCTACTTTTAATCTTTGTTTGGTGCTAAACTAATGTCGTTTAAACACGTCTTATCGATATTTAACATTAAAAACATAGCAGGAAAAGATGGCGACAGCATGTTGATACCAAACAAAAAGGAATAGTAGAACCGTCTAATTCTTTAAAAAGTAATAACAGTAACATGACATCGTTAAAGTACGACTTGACTTCAGTGTTGTAATGATGGAAACAGTGCTGTTGAAACAAACAGTATGTTAACCTGACAGCAGGTGAACGTGTGAAGAAATATCATCAACAGATCAGATTAAGAGGGAGAGGTCACAATAAAATAAATAATACATTCAAATATACTCAGTATGTATACACAATATGATACGCTTCTGATTTTAAGATTTCTAATTAATGCTGATAAAGTTACAGTAGACTCAAGAAGCCAGAGGGGTCGGTTACTTGCTAATAAACCCAGTAATGAAATGAAACTATGCATCTGTGTACTGTGTAATACCTCACAGCTTTTGCTTTGCGTTGTCGTTCATCATGTAAATCACAACAGATGTCCAGCTCAGCACAAAGACCTAATCACTCACCTAAATAAAAAACAGTCATCCTGTGCCGGTTGGTGGAGCACCAACCCTGCCAGGTCGGAGGGTTCGTTACCTGCTGGGGTTACCCATGCTGAAAATGTGTGCACACATGGCGCACTAACAAGCGTTGGGTGGAGGCAGGAACCACATGACATCGGTCTTGTGTTCTGGTTTTACACTTCAGCTTAACAGCTATGCACAGTTTAGATGGTGTATATCACACAAGGCTTTAAAACACATGTGTAGCACACAAAACTATGTGCAGCCTGAAAGCAGAGTTAACAGACAGTTAATCCGTTCTGCTCCATGGAACTTAAGATATCTCCACGTGTTGAAGCAGAGTGATTGCGGCGTTAAGAGGATGGTGTCGTTGTTTAATCACCAAACACCGTATGTTGTGTTTACCTCATGTGTGGAAGCTGGTTCCAGACAGCTCAGGGTAACGTTAGCGGCTCTGTAAGTGGATTGGGTTTCAGAAACTCTCGCCAACATTACAGAAGACACGTTACATTTACCAAACACCTCGGTCAGCTCTCTTCTTCAGAGCCTTTCAACTTATAACATTCAAAAAATGTAGTTTTGCTCAATAAACATTAAATAAAACTTTAAATCCTCATTCATGGCAGTAAATACGTTGCACGTATCGTATCGTTCCTCCTGGTTCATGTTCAAAGATGCACTGAAGGAATGCACTACTGTTTTTCTTGTGTAGCAAATGGACTCCATCTGCATTTCGTCGTGTTGCATAATGACAATAAATTATCCTTGAATCCTTGAAATGTGCCACGTTAACTTCCTCATAGTGAGCACACCGAGCTCTGAGCTGCACCTCAAATGAAAGGAGCTCTGCCTATAATCAACGCTGAAAACACTCCTGTCGGTTCTCCTCTCAATCAGCATCTCCATTGAGATGTGAGAGGAATAAATGCATAAAATCTACAATTTATTGTCATTTACAGCACAGCAGATTGTTATTCAGCGAGGTTGTCGCTCAGCTTGCCATCTTGTCTTCTGTAGAAGCCTTTAGGGGTTTTGATATCTCGCCCACACAGATTATTGATTGCAACCCTTTTCTCAGTGTTATTTTATCTGTGTGTGTTTTCATCACTTTGCGTCCATGTTTCTAAACTGTACAAATGGAATAAATTGAATTGACGGGGTCACAGCTTCCATTTGGTTTCGCCTCTCTGATCCATTTCACAGACAGAGCAGGTGGTCCGAATAGTTTGTGGCTTCCACATCAAACATAAACTAGTTCCTGACAGCGGAGCCTCTGGTGCTTCAACAGACGCAGCTAACGGTGATCGCTGGTGGGAGGCCAGTGAGGGATCGTCTTCTGACCGCTGCACTAGTTCTTTGCAACGATTACTCAACTAATTGATTAGTGGATTGAGAAAACAATGATCTGTAACTATTTACATAATGGTTAAATGGGAGAGAATGCGGTTTTCAGCCTGTCAAATATGGAGATTTCCTGTTTTCTCCCGCCTTTCTCTTCACGTGAGACTTTTCACTGTGAGATAAAAAATAAATGGCCGTCGACGGTATCTCAGATCCTTTCGTTGTAAGAACTGTGTACAGACATCCAGTTAACCGGGAGAAAATGGAGACAACTGGAAGTATATAGAGCACAATGGAGGCTTACTACCTTGGCAGGGAAGAGCAGAGCAATGAAATACAGACTCACCAGTAAATTAAACTAGCATAAAACAGTGTCTGCCTTAATGTAGTCCATTTATTCTGCCTCCAGGTATGCTCCCACCTCTGATTTTAAAGGTCATGAGCAGATACTGAGTGCTATCAGTTAGAGATAATAAAATCCACCCTGTAACAAAAGTATTTTTATTGGCTGCTTTGCGATATAAATCAAACCGCTGACAAGTGTTGACCGTGTTATGCATCGCAAAGTGACTTTCTGTGTTCTGCTGCTTGAACCTGAGAGCAGCTCTGCAATGCAAAAACAATCTTAGACTTCTGTTTAGAGTGCCGCACTACCGCTTTAATAGTTGAGATTCAACTTTTCAAAAATCTCCCCGACGCTCATGATGTTCATCGCTGCTCTGAACTCTTGAACTTTGGAGAATTGTGTTCAGTAGTCCGACAACGTCAAACGTAATAATAGTGAGTTTAATGTAACATTAAGATGAAGACTAGGGGTCGAGAGGTTAACTGATTTGGGGACGATTCAGGTATTTATTGATTATTTGAAGTACAGATTGTTAGCAGCTGATGCTACGTCTGCCTGGCCCCTCCCCGCTCTGGGATAATTAGGCCACGTGCTGCTTTATAAACACTGACACACACTTTAAACAGTGTCCCACCTTTTAATAGACTAAAGACTAAGCTGTGTGCATCGCTGCCTTTGTTTACTGCTGTTGGTGTGGGACATTTATGATTCAATATTTGAAATAAAGGCTGAGGAAATATTTGATTTATTATTATAAAAAAAAAAAGCTTAATTGCAGCCCAATTGCATCAGCTTTGAATTACTGAATTTTTTTGTAGCCTGTGTATCTTGGTTCACAGCTTGTGAAAGCATCCCTACTGTGCTAACACAGCTTATAGTATTACCTGGACAGGGAAGGGTGCAGGCCTCCTTCAGGCTGATCTGTTTGTCTCCGTCGATGGCCGGCTCCAGGCTGCTGCACTGCTCCTCGTCCACCAAGCTGCCTTCTCCGTCGCCGGAGCCGTCCGACACGAAGCAGGACATGTTTCTGTAGCGTATGCCGTGTCCACACACCACGCTCTGATGACAGGACAGGAACACCACAGAAGAGGAAAGACGATGATGAGTAACCCGCAGAGAGAGAGAGAGAGAGAGAGAGAGAGAGAGAGAGAGAGAGAGAGAGGGGAGTTACATGAACCTACAGCTACTCGCTGACAGCTTAATGTTGGTTAATTATAGCTATGGCTGCAAATCCAGACCATTAGCCATTTAAATGTCATATTAATGTGACCATTATTTAGAAAAAGACTACTTTCATGTCCAAATTACAATAAACAGAGTAGAGGATAAATAAATAGTTTGAAACAACATCAAGTGTATAAAACATTAACAACACTTTAAAGCTCGTCTGACATCTAATGAAGTTCAAAGGCACTACCGCTTATTGATTTCCTTTATCAACTCAAAACTAATCACCATGGACATGATATAGGTAAAAAGAGCTTAATCGAGAATATTCAGTTTATTTAGTTTAATTTAGACTTGAGCACAACCAAGACCACGTATCAGGTGATGCAACGCTATCTTTCTGAACACATTGGAACGTTCATTTTTTACTCCAGATTCTGAAATCAAAGCCAAAACGACTCACTCACGTCTCGGCTTTAGTTTGATTCAGTTCATCAACAAAAGAGAGCGACTCCGGACATAAATCACATCTGAAGGCATCACAATGGTTTGTGTCCACCGTACTGAGTGCTGCTTCACATTAACAATTCTCTATTGATCGTTGGACACTTGATGGAGCGAATGGAGAGGAACAAGGGACCTAAGTGAATGATGGCAGGTGACGTGTCTCTTTCTGTCGTCCCATTAAACCTGCAAAGTTTTGTTTCTTGTCACGAAGCGATGCAGCAGACCGCTGTAATAATGTGACCTGGTGGCACACAACTCAAATTGAAGTGTTAAGGCTGCCAGATCTCTTGGCGATGGTATTGGTTGACAGTAATGTATCGGCATGAAAAGTGCATTCGATTGATATTTTACTGTCCGTCTCACAGAATAACTATGCGTAGGGATTTGATGGGGTTGCTCATCAATACTAAAGACTCAATTATTCCTCCCCAGGTGTCAAGATTTCCGTCTTTCAGAATCAACTTTTGGCTCAAACTCGTGTGCGTATTGATCTCAGCCGAGCCAGGGAACTGTCAAAGCTGCATTTCTTGCAGCTGACAGAGGTCGATACGATCATCAATATTTAAAGCCTCATGGGTTATGGTATAACGTTCTGATTTATTGATCAGTACCTCCACCCGGCACTCGGACCAGTCGCTGTACTGCCAGCGGTAGCAGGGTCGGACGGGGCAGGGCTTCCACTGCTCCACCTGAGGAGGGCAGGGCCGCCCGTCGCCCTGAGAGGCCTGGACCACCGAGCGCCGCCGCCACATCTTACCTGGAGGACACACACACAGGAAGTGACATCATCAGTTTATCCTCATGCATTTTCACTTTGAGCATTTGTGCATTTTTTCCTCTTTGAAGGTAGCTTCACACAAAAAAAGCAAGAAAATAAGCTCTGTGGCAAACAAATGTTTATGATACTTGCACGTTTTGTTCAGCAAGACAATCTTTATAAACGAAGCGTGGATACAATCGGCAGAAGTGAAAAAGGTAACGTTAAGCTGTAAACAAGCTACAGCACAAAACTAAAGACTAGTGTTTCTTCTTCCAATGCTCAGTCGTCTCATTCAGCCGCTTAGTGGGGTACTGACTGACGTATTTTATGTCATAGAACAAAGTGCTAAAATCTCATTAGCTTGTATTTCAGGCATCTAACAGAAAAACCATTCAATTAACCCGTTGACTTCAAGACGAGGGGACAGTAGTAGAAAGAAAAGCTCATTTCCGGGTTTTATGACTCGTTCCTGCAGCACTCTAAATGCCACAGATTTCTATTACCGTAGTTGCACTGACTACGTATTTGTAAATGGCATTGTTTAATAAAACAATTAGGATTTAGATTAAATTAGGTCCCTCTAAAGCTAGAAAAACCACAAGAACAGGGTCCACTCTGACTAATTCTCTGTCCCAGAATTGAAACTTGCGTCTTGCATGATAGAAGATGAATCTTCAGGGATTTTCTTCTTGTTTTTCTCAGCATTTATTTTGAATAATACAATTCCACAGATTGTAAAGTGGTTATTTTCTGGACGATAAACTAAATGCAGACAGTGTTGGCAGATGTAGTGACCACTGCGGTTTACCACACGACAATCATCCATTCCCTCTGTAAACAGCTCCTTTTAAATGAGTGTGTGTGTGTGTGTTTTGAAGGCATTAAATTAACAGCGCTTCACTTAACAGAGCCGGCTCCTCTAAAAGGCCGTCCAGACTGCGCTTTTTCCCCGCCATCTTGATAGGCTCTTGGTCCACTTGAGTAAAACGGCTTTTGTTCCACATCACTCAGCAAACTATCTTTAAATCAATCGGGAACATTACGGTGGCGAACACCTCGGAGACCGTTTGATTTAAGTGCAGAACTGAAGCTATAAATTACTTTGGGAAACTCAACACAGAAACCCTGCACACACACACACACACACAATTTAAAATGCAACCTTCCTGTCAAACCGCCCCCACTCTCAAACCTCAGAACCCTTCATTTCTTGTGTATCCCACTCTCCTTTTTTACATTGCCGAGCCAGCAATCTGCTCACCTCAGAATACACCTTTGCCAACCTACGCCACCTTTCAACACACAAAACACAAATCAGGCTTCCCACACATTCACACAAACTGTACAACCTCATATCCCATTCCAACAAGAGAACATCCCACACAAGAAACACTTCAAATATGGTCCCCTCTTGCTCCTTCAGCCCTTCCTAAAACTTTTATCTTATTCCTTAAGATTTAGCAACTACTGCTGCAGCGGCTCTTCTTCAAAGCGCTCCCCACAGCCCTGAGGAACAGGAAGATGTAGTGGGACAGAATCAATTGTGTGAACCGCCGGGAACAACAAGCAGGCAACAGGAGGACACATTTTGCGCCGGTCATTTGGGAAGACTCTTAAATAAACACTTCCTCTCTTCTGCTTTTGTGAGGGTTTTCTTTCTGGACAAATGCCTCCAGTGGGAGCAGGAAGTGTCTGATATGGGACTTTTTAAGTTATCCAAGACAGGATGTTCTGCTGAGCATGCATGTTTTTACTCACACACACACACACCACACCATGCTGGGAGAAACATGTTAATGCAATAGGCTCTTACAAACAGTCCTGGGACAAACGTACTGTCTGTGAACATGGCTTTAGAAGCTTCATGTTTGCAGGCTCCTTGAGACCTACACCCTCATGTTCTTTACTTTCTGCTTCCTGCTTCACATTCACTCACGTGTACATTTACAACTTGGGGCTCACGAGTACCAACGTTGTCTTCTGGTGCGGAGCATCATAAAGTTGACTTTGTTGCATCTTCTGTGTTCGATTCTTTTGATGTTACAAGCAGCGGAGGGACTTTCAACTAAAAGTCACACCTGTTCCTCAGATGTGCTCTAATGTGCAAAAAAATGTGAGAGAAAATCTGGTATAATTATGTATTTAAAGATACAGTAACGAGATGAAGTGTGTTCTGAAAACTGTTCCGTTACCAAAGAGTTCAATGCTTTCTATAGCTTTTTGTAGCAGCGCCGAGGGAGCTGCTTATTCATGACCATTTATGCACACACGCGTGGGTGACGCGATACATAACCCTGCCATCGGTTTCACACTATTCCATGGACCGACGGGTTTCACGGACACACCAAGAAATGCAGCAACGCACCAACAAAGCCAGGAGAGATTAGAATGCAACAGCGTAAACGCGGATCTAAAATAAAAGGAGTCTCTGTCTGCATGTCTGTCCTTTGATCTTCTCGACAGCCGTTCATCCGATCGACTCCACACTTGTCGGCCGTCTAGCTGAGGATCAAAGGAAGTGCAGAGTCGAGTGTGAGGACAGGATATCATAATGAAGCGCTAACTCTAGCATTCCTACGGGATGCGGCTATGTCATGGCGGGTGTGTATGTCATTGCTCAGGATCAAAGGAAGCGTTGTGTCGAGTGGGAAGTTATTTGTATGAGCGGTTCTCCAGAGAGCAGCATGCAGCAACATCGGATCGGCCTGTTCCCAACAGGGCACTGCACTAGCACAAACAATACAGGATCTGTAAAAACTGAATGTAAACATAACCTTCGTTTGTCTCCAACGATACTTCACAGGGCACCTTTAAGTCTGTTAAGATCATCTCATCCCACACTACCTGACAGGATCAACTCTACACAGGTTGTATCAGCTTCTTCTGACTACATGGTTTCTTTCACACTGTGTGATGTATTCAAAATATAGACTTCAGACTCAAAAATGCAGAGAAACGGGACCCATTCTGTGCCATGTTTGGCTGCACAGCATGAGTTTGTAATGACAGATCAGTGAGGTTAAAGAGGCTAACCCCATTGGAGCTGAATCACTGGCCGCAGTTGCAAATTCAAGAGGTTGATGTGTTTGGTCATTTACCAACAACACAGTGGCGGTGACTAAGCTCAGCTTGTCTAATTCGGCGTGATTCGACTAGCTTTAATGCAAAGACGTTGTGTTATTTGTCCCTGAGCTTGTATTTTACTTGTTATTTACTTTGTTTGCTCTGGCTTCAGCTTTGAGCTTGAGCTGATCTTCTTACCATCTAGTCCGCACGTCTGTGAACAGACGGACCACGGCGACCACTCCGACATCTGACAGTTGACGGGACACTCGACCACACAGGAGATGTTCATCTGCCATTTCTTCTCCAAATTCAGCTGCAGCACATGTAGGAAGTGAAGAGGTTAATTCATGACGCATCAGCCGACTCAATCAGTTACGACCAGACAGCCGCTTGACCTCTCAGCACTACAATTCCCCGAAGCCTTTGTTCTGGCGGGGGACAGACTGTGCTGGGCAGCATCAGGCCAGCGAGGTTGGAATATCGAGGCCGCTGTGAAAGCCGCTCTGACACATTGTGTTTTTGTGAATGAGCCAGATGATGAAGTGGGCCAAGGGTTAAATAGCTGCGGGGACGGCTCTGCCGCGGCCCCCCCGGCTACCGTTACAGGGAGCCGAGACACATTATGGATGAATAAAACGCTCAGCCCGAAGCAACGACAACAATCTCTGCATGGGAATACTCCTGAATATTTCATGTTGCTGTGGGCCTAATAGTACTGGAAGGGTACGCTAGTATATACAATGAGTGATGTGATTAAGTCATCAAGTAAAATGAGTGTGTCAAAAAACAAAAAAAGGAGAAACTTGATGGATTTTTGCACGTCTCACCTCCTCACAGAATTTGATATCGACGGATTTTCCGTCGCTGCGAACACAGTCGAGCATCCGGGTCTTGATGCCGCTCCCACACACGGCGTTAGGACTCAGCTGACATGTGCTCCAGTCTGAGGAGAAACACAACATATTCACATTTACATTTTGGGCCGATATGAGTGCATCAGAGAGCTTGATGAACAACAACGTTCTAGAGGCCTCTAGGTGCCAGGCTGAAATACCAACAGACAATGATCCTAACATGAGGACTGCTACCCGTCAGCAGAGCACACAGCTCTACCACATGTCGCTAGTATTTACCAGGTGGCTGCTGTTGACTTTACCACCCTGGGTGCACGCAGAGAAAGAAGGCAGGTGAGAGGGAGTCATGATTTAAACGGGAGCAGGAAGCAAAAGCAAAGGAGCATTAATTCAAGTCACAAGGAAACAGCATTTCACCAGCGTTCTGCTTCTGTTTTGTTTTTCCTCCAGTTGAAGCAGGATGATGTGGCGGGACAAAACACAAGGAGACGCCGTTCAAAAGTGCTCAAATGCGTCGGCTGTCACACATTCTTTACACATCAGGATGAATAAATCCCAGACAGTGAGAATCAACCACGCTGTGTCTCGGCTTTTTAAGGGCGAACACACTGAAATGCGACGCCGCACCGTGTCGCCTCATGTTACTCTGAGGGTGCTTTAGCTCAAGCTTTTTTAAATGCAGATATAAAGCGGGTTCTAGGAAGCAGAAGCACCAGGATATCTATACAAAATATCTATTAATGTGTAAATTTCTGATATGGTGTATTGACACAGCAATATCAAACTAATTACCAGCTACGCTGCTGACATAAAGTACAATTGCCATGCCCTCACTGCACTGTAGATAGGTCTTTAAGGATGGGCGTGCCGTGCATATATATTAAAACCACTTAAGGCTCCCAGATGACTCAGCAGAATGGCGAAATACCTTGTGCTTCCCATACAGTAACTTTGACTTCAGCTCATTGCCTTTGCTGCACAACACACTTATTCCTTCTCTGCCTTCTGCCACAAAGCTCCAGCAGCACTCAAATCCCTTTAGATAATCAGTGTTGTTGTGTGTTTGGAGTCGGACTCTTAATAGCTTCTGGCTGACGAAGATCACCGTCGATAAGAGACGATTACTTTGTCAGCGAAGAGGTCGTTGAAGGTTTATAACAGCTCATTTAAATCCAATAAATCTGGCTGCCATCGGTAACCTTTTTTAATGCCAGCGTCGTAAGCGAGCCGTTTGGCCAGGCGGAGAGATTTGAGTTAAATAAGCAGGATTTAAAAGCAACATCAATACAAGTTTTCCCCTAATAAACTTCAGTGGAAATCCCCAGGGCTGTAACATGCTGTAACTTGGCCCTTCCAAAAAAAAGATATCTGTGAAGAGGAAAGACAACATATTAATCCAGACTTTGGATGCAAGTGCCTTTAAAATCACAGCGTGCAACAATAGGGGTGCTGAGGCGTCACTCAAAAAGCACGCCATCCGCTGACAAAGATGAGTGGCTGTTTTTAGCTGCAGTGAGCTCGTTTGCAAGCTCGACTCAGGGAATTGTGTCTCCTTCTTGCCGAGGAGCTTTGTGGCACTCTGGGGACTGAAAATAGGGAGATTGCAACAAGAGAGAGAGAGAGAGAGAGAGCTATAAAAGGAAAGAAACTGAAGGAGGGAGCAGCTTGGACGGTCTCAGCATCAACAGACAAAAAGAGAGCGCTTTAACCAATAATAATCTCTGCTCGTACATTATGTACATATACCCTGGGATGCCTGTATGCCACTGTGAACCCAGCAGTAGGGATTATATGTCACGTCTCCCGGTGTAACAACACAAAGGGAAGACAGAGGAGGAGGTGGGCTGGTTGAGAATGTGGGACAGCAGCTATGAAGGCAATGCTGCAAATCCACATGAAAAACAGGAACGCTGCCAATCCTTCCTTTTTTCATTTTTATTGAAATAGTTTGCTGCAGTTTTCAGGATGAGATATGAAAGAGTAGCCTCTGTGACATGTGATATGGAGGTGCGATATCCTGCAGATCAGAGGGCCGCTCGGGAAAGCTGCCAGCTCCAAGATTGGAAATCTTCCTGTTTGAATCTATACTAACGATGCATGAACTAACGATGTGAATAACAGTGTGAGAGTTGTGACTTGTAGCAATGAAAGCTGGAATCTGCAGCTCCCCTCGGCTCTACAGAGCTTTATGTTTCAGCTTATTGTTTCGCTATCTGGTCCGTAACATTAATATTTTGGTTCACTTCCACCGCTCTCATGGCGTCATTTTTCGGCTGCAGCACGCAGCTGTTTTTTGGGGGAAAAGGCTGTAATAACCCACTGTACACGACCTGCTCAGCACCAAACAGCAGACAGACACAGTGAGCGACTAGCCCGTGGACATAGTGGAGCATTTAGCAGCTAAAAAGCTAGATATTTCCCACAGGAGGAGATATGTCTACGGTCACAACTTGTTACCGCTGCCCATAAATGGCCAAACAAATCAATCAGTTACTCAGTTGAAAGAAAAGGCTCGTTCTGTTCTAAGTTATTGACGCAGATGTTACACGAAGAGGCAAACAGTCAAATGTTTTACTTGTACTTGGCATCTTTAAGGCTTTAATGGTTGTTACTGCAGGGATTTGCAGCAAAACACAATGTCTGCCCAGTCATACTTTACTTGAAAAAAACCGGCGCTCCACTGAAATACAACCGACAAACTAAAAGCGAGTCTGTGATCAAAGAAAAGCTTTGTGCAAAAAGCAGCTGTGAAAAAGACTCAAAGCAGCTCCATTGACGTTACATCATCATTGCACAACACAATGTTTGATAAAACCTTGACAGGTTCGCAGTCGTCTCACCTAAAGAGACTAAAGTAATAAAATAAAAACGCACAAGTCATCTATCGATTGCTCCTCCAGCTGTTAAAAACAGATGAGCAAATGAAGCATGTGATACTTTCAATAACGCACAGCAGCAGCTGAGCTATCCTCAGCGTGTCTGTAACCCTCTTAAACTGCAACCGGCTGATACAGATCATCAAAACAGCACCATCACAAACCAGATACTAGTGAGAACATCCAAGTCATTAGTTTATCAATATGTCATATTCTGTTCTTGGGCTACTTCAGATAAGGGTCTGATTAAATGACAATAGAAAATGTACAATGTACAACATCATCAAAAGATAAATACTAGTAAGAAAAATAGTGTTGATGGTAAAAATATGTATCACATTCTGAAGTCATACGTTCATATGTAGAACCATCGTGTGCATTAATACCCTTCCATATTCATCAAGGAATCCCCTTTAAGCCCCCATTTGGGCCTGTTTGGAGAATTTCCCCCCATCTCCTCCCCTCAACAGAGGCTTAACAGCCTCAACACCAATGAACCACAGCTGAGGAGCTAATTCTGAAACGGAGGCTGCGTTTTAAAGCCTCAAGAGGCCCGTTTTCATGTTGGCGATTTGGTTAAAGTTGAGAAAGATTCCTCCCGACACAACCATGGCAGCAGCCCAAAAACCTGCTCCACTCAAAATGCAAGGCGAGTACAGTGGAGTCGTGTTGAGGAGACGCACGTCTGCCGCATGACATTACCGAGAGGAGGGAATCCGGCCCACCGCAATCTGTATGGAGACGTGGTTTCACGTTTCCTTTACCTGTGATGTTGTAGAAGTAGTTGAAACAGTTGAGGTTCAGGCTGCAGGGCTCCTTGTCCGTCGTCTCTGGACACTCCCTCCCCACACTGGGCGAGCGCAGGGTGTACGCCGCCCGCACCCGACTGTTGGTTCTGGTACACGGCTGAAACAGAGACAAAACGTTTCTAAAACTGAGGAAATGACTAAGCAGTCCGTATGGCAGAGGGTGATAAGAACTCAACACAGACATGTCCCTCAATTTGCCCACTTCTGGATTATTTCCCAGTTTATTGGGCAACAATTCATTAAGATTTATGTCAAAACATCCAGGCTTTGTCCCTGGAGGGATGTTTTATTGTTGTATTTCTAAAAATATTTAAGTAAAGATCCCCCCCCCCCCCCCCTCTCTCTCTCTCTCTCCTGGCATTCCCAGAATGTGGAATTTGATTCTTTTCCAGCAGGAAATGACAGGAGGGCTGAAACATTAACATTCTGCTGGGATGGTAAAACACCAGATCCTACACGGTCATTGCTCGCAAAGAAGAGAGTTGGGGGGAGAAAATGACAGCCTTTTGAATATCTCCATCGCTGGCACGATGAATAAAACATACGAGAGGCCCCCGCTGACGCCACCGCAGACTCCAGTACGAGATTGGAATTGTGGGAAGTCGGCGTGTCAAGCTCTTTGGGAGAGAATAGGGTGTGATTAACAATGGCCAGGGTGCTGCTGGGTGAACAGCAGGTGAAGCCAGAGCGGATAAAATAGCTTTTTTTCTCCTTTTACCACGAATCGGGGGTGTCAGGGGCGTCGGGCCTGAACATGATGTTCCGACACCTTGCGTGTTTTTGCAAACGCGAGAACGAAGATTGCACACACACACTGAAGCCTGCAGGTGTGCGCTTTGCTGCGATTAAATCAGTGAGCAGTGTCTCCTTACAAAACCAAATTGGCAACGTCTTCATATTTTACTGAGTGTGAAGAGGTCATGATTCAGAGGGAGATGCACTCTCATGCCCTCCTCATTTTTCCATAAACCTGTAGGCTAAAATGAACATTTATGAACTAGATTCCTTGAAGCGTCAAGTATCTCACTGTATAATCTTACCATAAATCTATATTTTTCTGAAAATACATCTAATTACTTTCGCTGTTTGTGGTTATCTGTACAAAGGACGACAACAAGCTCGGGGTAATATTTTACCCAGCTTTCATGTTGGCCCGTACATCACTGCTGATGTAGAGAGTAGTGTGTGTGTCTGTGTGGGTGTATATCACAAAATGTAAATTTGGAAACCTGCTCGGGAGTTCTGAGTCTTTATCATAAATCATCTTCCTTCCCTTCTGAATGCACAGTGAGCACAGTGTAATATAGGTGATGTATAAGCCATTCCTCCTGCTTCCCGGTTCATACATCTCTTTTATTCCACCTTGGTGGACGAGAAATAACCTGTTGACAAACAATTTACGCGCTGCTCACAATGATACAGTGCGGCTACGCTTCCAATTCCTCGAGCCTCGGAGAAAATATTTCTGACAAGAAAAAGACATCAAGATAAATCTCAGAGGGCTTCAACACAAGCCTGTCCCATATCTGAGCCGGATGGCTGAGCTGCTTGCTCTCTGATCTCACCAGGCTGCAGCGGCTCCAGGGGCCCCAGTCGTTAAGGACGCAGTCCTCGGGACAGGGCAGGCGGCTCTCCCTGGCCCCCAGGGGCATCTCCTCGGGGTCGCACAGGTAGTCGTCCACAGACTCCGACGGCCCGTCGATGGTGTTCAGCATGCACCTGTGGGATTGATGCGGGAAAAAACACAGAGTTTGACCTCATTTTAAGCTGAAACGGGCTGAATTTAACACCTGAAAGTAAGTTCTTTCATTTGATATTTTTAACAAAGTAAATGCATCTAAAATATTATTACAACACATGAATAGATACAGCACAATAAATATGATACTGTTTTTATTTCTAACTGAATCCTGGCTTTCCTCAAATGCCGCAGACGTATTTTTAGATTTCCTTGCTCTGAATAGCAGCGTCTTATCCTCCAGATGAAGGGGAGCGCAGGCTGCCTCTTCTTCACTGATAATGTCCCCGGCTCTAAAGACCAGAGACTTAACCGAGGTCATTAGAGTTTGTGATTTCACTGTGATTTTGCATCAGCCAAAGCCTTTAGACTTGATCATCACAAGGGGCATGGACGTGGATGTAATGTCCTTGTGTCTTATTATTTCTGTGTGTGTTTTTATATCCACTGTTTTTTTTTACAGCCCCACGACATTTGGTTCTCTATGCCTCACAAAACATCAAATTACAGTCTTATAGGTCTAATTACAGAGTATGTATCGGCATGTGCACAACATTAATCCAAAAGTTTGAGTTCCACCCAACAGGATTTGGCAGCTTGTCGGCTGTTGACTTTCATCTGAACCACGTGAAGACAGATTTGCACAGATCCTCTGCATGTTTCTTCTTTCCCTAAAACATTTTTCCAAATCACTTTACACAAGGCAATCGTATTAATCTGAATTTAAATGAGCACGTGTCAGCTGTAGTGCAGGTCTGACAGCCTGCAACTGCTCGAGATCAATCTGCAAATGACTTTATTATTAATAATAACAAAAGATAAAAGCTTAAAAGAGTCCCTCGTGTTCAGAAAGCCTCGGGCGATGTCTTCATGTTGCTGGTCTTGTGTGATCAAACTCAGTTTAAGAAAAGCAGCACATCTACACATTTGACAATCACATTTGTTAATATCTCCACTTGAAAATAAATTTAAAAAAGCAATTTATTATCAGCATTATTGTTCCGTTGATTGACCAATCAACTAATTGTCTCATCGTTGCAGCACTAACACACACCTGCTTTTACTACTGCGTATATAAGGAACATTAAAGGACAGACGGCTTGATAGATACCGGACTTTTCTGGTCTGGACGCCTTCGCCGCAGTTCTCTTTTAAGTCCAAGTTGCTGACTTTCCACACGCTCCACGGCTCGGCCACCCACACATACTGATTGCAGTCGCTCTGACAAGGCACCACCTCGTACACCTGAGGACGGAATAACCTTTTTTATGCGCTTAACGTGTTCTCCATGTGATTTGAAGTAGATACAGCAGCAAGTCAAAGGGGAGCAGATTGGTAGTTTTACTTCTGGGTTGACCCAACTCATGATTATAATCATCCTACTCGTGAAAAGGAAATCTATATTTCTATAAATATTTCCTCTGAGCTCTGTGATTCTTTGGCTCGGCTCTGAGTTTTAACTCGGCCAACGTGATTATTTCTGCCCCCAGTGCAGCTCTGCCTCTGGGAGGATATTGTGACTGTTTACATCTATCTGTCAGCGACCCACTGACATCTGTGACACTTAACATCTGCGACTACATTAACAAATAGCTGAGGAAAGCTGCTCTTACCTGGGCCTGCAGCAATGAGTCAGATCCGGCGAGCATTGGGGCGGATTAAAAGGAGACGGACAGATTAATGAGCACATGCCAACTGTTCATATAGTGCAGAACCTATGATTAATGCAACATTCCAGAGGACATAATCAGAAAAGCCTCTGGTATAAATACCTGTGTGAACTCAACAGAAACACACACACATACCGCTTAATCTACTGACGCTCTCGGGTCCGGAAAGCATTTCATTTTTGCAAATCATAGAAACCTTAAGGAGTCAACTGACACACGTTGGGATCCATTTATAGCACCCATCGCTGTCTGCTCAGCAAAAAAACGAGTGCAGCAATAATGAGGGGAAGGTAGAGGAACGCTGTGCAGACTCAAGTTTACTGTATTATTCATTAACACTTTCCTCCTGGCCCTCTCTCCAGTGTTGGATACATATAACGAGTATCACACTCGTAATAAGTATGATTACATTGTAGCACAGTTACTAAATATTCAAGAATCAGGTTTTGTTCTCTCAGCCACCAATTCAGACTTCCAAAACTTAGACTGGGTTTCAGTTCCAGCGACTGTACCTGGTTGATGTGGTCCAGTTTGGGACACGGCCGGCCCCCGTTGTACGGCTTCTCTCGGAGCCATTTAGAGCGAACTTTCACCCCGCTGCCGCAGGACTTGCTGCAGCGCGACCAGTTGGACCATTCGCTGAGCTTACAGTCTGAAGGACAGGGGATGATGCACGCCTCCTCAATGTAACCTGAGAGGAAGACAAAAAAATGATTTTTTTTTTGCAGAAATCAAACACATTTGGATGTATGAGTGTGATCTGGAAAGCGCGCATGCGCAAAAGTCACAGCGCAGGATGTGCCATGTCGGCAAATTAGCCCAAACACGGACACAATCTCGTTTCCCGTGCTTTGTGGGGAGGAATTCTTTGCCGTGTCATCACCATTCATATCTTCACTGTTTATGATTAAATTAGAGCGCAAAATTGTTGACAAGAGCACAAAGTTCTTAATAGATCTAGCCTCTTATTTGTGTGTGGACCAGATTGATGCAATTAACTGCAAAATGTTCTTTATATTGCAGAAAAAAATGCAATGCCTTTGTTCCTGATTTAGTGCAAAAACTGAAAGACAAAATGACGATTTGCTTCTTTTTAGTCTGTTTCAATGAATGACTAGACAGCGTAGTGTAGTCTGTTATTAATTATTTCAAAGGGGAAACGTATTCACCAGAAAATTGATTCATTAGAAATGAGCTTTGAAGTAAAACCTTTGTTCTCTCTGCATCCCACCAGCAGCCTCTCAGCCGCCGGGCTCAGCAGTGACTGCTGTGGAGAAAGACGGCCGTGGCTGGTTCTAGAATCCCTCAGACGACTTTTGTGTTCATTATCTCGTATGAAACTACATTTGTCCTAATTCCCAAAGGTTGGTTTTTTCTTTTCGATCTAAGAAACAGGCATTAAAGTTCAAGAGCTCTGTAAATGCTCGATGAGGAAAAATACCCAGCTGCAAGAGCAAACTATTAACCGATACTTCACAAACTAATCTAAATGCACTTATTGATTTTTAGCCCAGTGGAATGAAAACAGGGTCCACATTCAAAAGCACCATCATATGGGTTGTTACATAAAAGTGTAAAAAGTCTACCAAAGGAGAGGTTGGGCCCGGCAATGAGCTTCATTATTTCAATCCGTCTTCCTCGGCTCACAGGGTCACGACACTGTCAACAGGACTGATTCTAAGACTCTCCCTCTGCTTGTTACTTGTGTGTTCTTTGGACTCTTTCACCATCTCTTGGCGTTGGTTTCCTCTGCTTTCTCCAGCACACACACAGGCCAAGGTTCAGTCAGATATGCTGAAAAGATATTACTACTCTGAACTTTTGGCTGTGTCCGTAACAACATGATGTTTATCCTCCCAAAGATTTTTCTTTTTTACGAGGCAGGAGTCTGTTTAGCAGATAGAACCTCATTTATTTTTCAAGGCTCGTGTAGCAGCACCGGCCTGTAAATCAGTTTAGCCTTTGATTAAGCCAATCGATGAGGTGAATGAGCCGGGAAAGTGGAGTGTCTAACCACTTCCTCTCTCACACTGCTTGGCTCTTTAGTGAGAGAGGAAGTGGCGCTCCGCTGACGGACGGCTTTGCTGAAAACACACTTCCCACCATTTGAGATTTCAGAGGAATCCCACAGAGGTTACAGTTACAAATCAATTTTTTGTCAATGTATATACTGTATATGCGAGTCATTTTTCACAGTCTTGCTGAGCACATATGTTCCTCTGTAGCACCGTCGTGCCTCACACTGAGCGGCCGGGCGCAACAACACCTGTCTGCTGCTGGAGAACATGGAGGGTAACCAGAGGGGAGAGCGGTGGGTACTCAAATCTTCTGCTCAGAAAGTTTGTCCCGCAGCTGTTTTGAACAAAACTCAAAGGTCAGTCAGTTTAGACTAAAAATAGCATTTAAATATACACATACAGACAAAGACATGTGGCTGTGTTGGTGTGCTGCTAAAGGTGTTGCTGATGAGATGAAATGAAATTCAGAGAGTCAAGTTTGAGTAACACTCCCACATGTTATGAGGCTCATCAGACACCAAAACACTGCACAACAGCTAATAATAGAGCGAGACAGGATCTCACAGCTTTAGTTAAGAGTTCAGAGTAAACAGTGGAACTATGCCGACTATGTTGCAAAGTTATCTATCATGATATTATATTGCTGCAAAAGATGAAACGTTTTTTTCCGCATGACCCTGATTTTTTTAGTTTTTTTTACAGGGAGCCACCTGCAGCGGTCTAATTGAAATCAACAGGGAGGCTTTTGTTTTGCTTTCTGATGCAGTGAAGCAAACATTAAATATAGCCGTAGCATTGCTCAGGATGAGTGATGACATTGTGTGCATGAGACTAAAACCACCTCAATCTGGCAACCAAAGCCAAACAAACCCGAGTTCTCTTTCAGCCTCAAACCTCAAACGAGTCCTTTGGTTTGTCTTTCCTGTGTCCGTCTCTCAGCACAGCCACAGACCGCTGCTGCCAAAGGTGGTGGCCTCTTGCTCAAAAGCACTTCAGCCAGAAGGATGATTGGAGCTTAAAAACAGGGATAAAACTGAGCTGAAGGCGACAGTTGAAGGGTGAGCTCGCTGCCCAAAACTATGCTGACCCAAAACCGAGCAGTACCATTCCTAATATGATTTTTAGAAAAAGTCTTCCTAATCCAGTCCGGACTAGAGTCCCGGCCGCAACTACACTCGCTGTGACATAACGATCACATCCACACACACACATGCATGCAGGCATACACTACTGCTGAGTCCAGATCAGCATCTCTGCATCAACACCTTGCTGACCTCAGCGTGGCCTCTGAAAGAAGACCTCCCACCGTCAGTCCTGGAGTCAGGACCGGTCGCTCTGAAACACCGACGCCGTCGCTTCAGCTCTCTCACGGGCGCGAATGCTGCAGCGCCTCAGCCTGCGGTTCACTCGCAGTACAACCGATATCAACGTGTTAGGTGTCGTGCCAAGTTCTCCCGGAGGTCTTGGGTTGAGTCCAGGTAGGAGATCACTTCTTTTCTGGCCTGTAGAAGTCAACTTGGAAGCTGGCACTCCTCCTGCTGCAATTCCCAAAGCGGTTGTAACTGCTGACTGCTCAACTCCACCTGAGATGTTAACAACCTCACTGCCCAGCCAGCTCTTGAAGCTCCCAGTGGTAATTAGGATGTGCACTCAAACACCTCTGGAGGCAGACCAGCTTTCTAACAACAGCCAAAGTCTATCAGCATTCTGCTGAGAGCATTAGCAACATTAACAATAGATTAATCATGCACATGCATGGTAATGATCCGTTGTTGTTTTTTTTTGCACATGCAGGAACCCATTATCATTTCGAGCATGTTTAAAACACACGTAAGTGATATTTTGATGCAGAAATACTAGAAAACCCCAAAGTATGGCACATCAGAATCAGAAACTGTTTATCGCCAAGTATGATTGCATATACAAGGAATTAGGATTGGTGATTGCTGCCATAATCAAGAATATAAATATGAAAATGTACAATAGAATATGATCAACAAACAGTATAAGAGTATGTTTAAATGAGTCTGTTATTAAAGTGCAGAAGCGTTGTGCAGGGACGTGTAAATGTACAACCAACTGCATATAAAAGTGCAGAAGATTGATAACCTGCACATCGATCCATTTGCTGATTTCCCCGAAGCTCTGTAACTTTCTTGGAATCTCTGGCATTCCTCCCAGAAATTTATGTAACTCAATTCCAGAGTTTTCAGTTTTTTAGAAGCTGTTTTATCCAAATGAGTGTTTTCTTTACACGTAGCTTGTGTAAGTGAGACGATTCCTGAATTTCTCCTCTGGGTATCTATAAAGAATCATCTTGTCTTACGGTGCAGTTTGTAACACTAAAGTGTACTTAATGTTTAAAGTTTGTTTTGTCTCTAACCTGTGAAACATATATTTGTGTAATGTAACTAAGAAATGATACATTCTCTCTACAATCTCAAGAGCAAAATATCTTTTTGAACACAGAACCAATAGAAATGCTCGTGATGTGATACTCTGCTGGATTGATGTTTGTAATGGGACTTTTCCTCAAATTCTTTTGCATCTGCAAGGATCCACTAGTATGCTGGGCCCCTGGGTGCCCAACGAGGACCCCCTGATGGTAGATCGAGCCAGAATAAAGTCCGGCTGAGTGAGCGCAGCGTTGGCCTCTGAAACCACATTCTGTCCGCTCTTTGGGCGGCTGGCCCGGGAAGCTCCACACAAACCTTTTTGGCTCCAGGAATCATCCAACATTACAACCTGATTTCTGACCGGTTACTACCCCCCCCCCCCCTGCACCACAATCATCCCCAGGCCATCAGGGGCAGTCTAACCCCTGCTCTGGAAATAACCGAGGAATAAGAGAGAGTCACCATAGGCCAGACGGACCCTTTGATGTACGTAACTGACCCCAACAGACGCTGAGATCGGTCCTCAAACCTCCACAAACATGCTGCATGTTGTAACATTCACTAAGGGTCGTCATGCACCGGCAAATCTGTTTTCTGCAGTTCTGTCCGAGTTCACAGGTCCTCAGCACGACGCTTGCCCTTAAGCTTTACCCTCCACGGCTCCCCAGAGTGACTGCATTCCCTCCTCCTTTACCACATCCTGCTAAGACGGGGCCAAGGCCCCTGGAGCCATCCTGTGGTATTAAGTCATGGTAAAGGTCGTAACATCACGGGTCACTTATCGTCATGAATATAAGAGCGATATGAGTAATGTCACATATATACATATATATATATAGCAGGGCATTTGCCGTGACCTTGCACAGTGTTGATGGTAGTAGTTACTGTTGGCGGGTGGATATTATATTATAGAGGTAGACCAGGATGGTTTCAGTCTTTAGCTGAGCTGGTAGGTCCGTGGCATTGAGTCTCTACCATCCAAGTCTCAACTTGATCATGAATTGACGACAACACATTAATTGGATCTTTTTGTTTCTGACTCCAGATGGCAACTAATAGAATCAGGAATCTGTCATTGGGATGTTACTTAGGTCACGATCCGGTGCAGTCAGCCGCACGCAGGATCCGCGGAATGCAGACTGATGCACATGATGTGGAACTTGAGCACACAAGCGAGCTCCGCCCAGACGCTTTGAGCCGTACGCCATCAGCAACATCTGCTGAGGTTAGCACAACAAGCCACAGTCACACTATGACGAGCGCAAATGAAACGGCGGAGCTGGAAGAGCCACTAGGGGGTTCCTGGTCAGCAACAACAAGCAACAGACAGAGACAGAGACAGAGACAGAGACAGAGAGAGAGAGAGAGAGTCGTGTATAGGACGGTGTGTTGGCATTTCTCCACAGTTACATGTGAATGGACACACATCCAACAGGCTAACGCACATTCAAAGGCATTGCATCAGTGGTACGATACATAAATGACAGGTGAATGTTTAAATACAGCCACGGTGGAATACATGTAAGCACTCCTCCTAATGCACACATTTTACTTCTCTATTCATTTTCTATTTCATCACGTAAGAGATGTGCTTCAGTTTTATTGTGACCTGTTGCCTTTTGGGAAAGTGTTCGTTGTTGGTACAGCGTAATACAGGTGTTTGAAATGTTCCTTATTTCTATAATGGAAATGGTAAAGCAAAGTTGACAGTGGCCAACATGTTACCTCGGTCCCCAGCGAGAGGATTTAATCTTTAACACTACAGTCGGTTCAAAATAAATGAAAAAGCATCCTTTAGTATTTGTGTACCCTTACACCCCTAATATAACTCACTTCTTGTGATATTGATTGTGACTCTCTCTGCAGGCAAGCTCCACTTTGATCTGGTATATGATTCATATATATATACATATATATTTCAAAAACACATTTCCAAAATTATGTTCTCTGTATGTCAAAATGACCAAATTCTGAATAAGATGGCTCATTTATTGAGAACTGTTGAGAACAGCAGACAGCGTTACAGAACCAGGCGAACTGGAAAGTGAGCAATGCCACAAAGCTCGGATCACCGTGTACTTTTAATGATAATCCCCTTTTTTTCTGTTGATGTCTGTGGAATACAGAGATAACGGTGGCACAGTTCGCCTGATCGACATCATGGCCGAGGGCATTGTGTCAGCAGCAGAGTCGAGGAAAGACCGCGTCTCCTCCTCTGTCGAGATTGAAAGTGATGACGGCTGAGCTGCACAGAGAATGGCACAAAAAAATGAAGGAGGGAGCGGCAGAGAGGAAGGAGGAGAGGAGGAGAGGAGCGACCGAATGAGGATAAAAGAGAGAGATTTAATGATATCTTTGAGATTCAGCCGCATGAAAGTGTTTTTGTTTTTCTGTGCACCTCAAGGAACATACCGTTTGTCTGAGCTCATTGAAGCTTGAAGATGAATGTGTGGATGCACATCACATAGGTGTAAAAATACACAGAAAATACACACACACACACACACACACACAAGCCCATCCTTACGACATGCCCTTGTCACACCCACACCCAGATTAACTGATGCATATCTGGATCTGTGACTCACACAAGGAGACTAAAACCATGTTTATATATGCACAACACTGATGTATTCATTTGAACATCTCCCGCATTCTATTTCACAGCAATTTCACAACGACTTTCTGAGCCAGGATTCTTTGCTTGAAGTATTTTGGTTCCAAGATAAAATACCATACAACGAGGAGACAAATGATTGTGACAGGAGTGTGCCACAAACAGGCCTCCTTATGTGAAATTCAGTATTCAAAATGAGTCGCCAGCCTCCATAGGAGGGGCTCTCATAGGCGCACAAACAATATCCTTCACTTCAGATGAATATTTAACAGAACAAAAAGTTATTCTTGCATCTGCAGCATTCCGTGTATTTCTCACCTGAAAACCAAGAAGTCGAGGCTGGAGAGGGAAAACAACGTAACCTACTTAACCTCAAGTTTCTACTTCTGCACATCGGTGCAGATTTCTGTCAGAGCTGCTTCCGTCATCGGGGTCAGAAGGCCAAAATTTACATCGTTAGTCGACCCAAACTGTGATATTTTCTCACTGACCTCTAACATTACGTAGCCATTCAGATAGTCCTGGTCTCATTCATCAAACAAGACACATGTATTTACACAATCGGGGTCTCTGTAACTCCACTGAACACACTCAACAGTTTTCAGTGGGACTCAGTAAAAAGAAGTTCCAATGAAAACTAGTTTTAATGAGTTATTAAACACCATCTTTCAGCAACAACCTGCACACATCCACCAAACGCAGGGTTAGGGAGTGGAGGTTTGTCACGAGTGCATGGCTCTGTGCTAGGCTAACTCATTAGCATAGTAGCATGGCTTCCTAACATTGTAGAGAGTGACATAAATGCACCTTTCCACCAGTGAGGACCAACATTCTGACTTTGTAAATTACCTTTTTTCATCGTTGACATATTCAATAAATTAATTTCTCCGTACAGGCTGCCGCTCACCTCTTGAATGTACAACAACAAATCTGTGCAGGCTTGAAAATGTTTCCAGCCAAAGTGGCTGGAAGATCATAGTATTAGCACTTACTGTATACTGGAATATAATTAAACTGTAAAGTGTACCTCATTTAAAGTGATACATTCAGTGTTATTCACCTTTAGTTCCCTATTTCCCTCCTTCTTGTCTCCCGCTATGAAGTCTGGCCTTCTGCTCGTGAAACGCGTCATTTCATGGAGGTTGTGATGCTCTAAACAATTTATCCCGTTTAACAGCCGCAACAGTTGTTACATGCTGTAAGCACAAGTTTAATTTAGTTGGTTGTGATTGGCCGGTAGGCCCAGTCCCGTATACACGCATACAGCATGCGCAGCCCAAATGACTGGGGGTCTGATGCAACGTCCCGCTGGGATTTGTCCCGGTGTACCATATGGCCAGTACACCACTGGACTGAAGGGACAGCACACCAGCAGCTTTCTCCAGTGTGTGTAAGAAAGTGGCGGGGGGTCTCCATAATTTACTCGGCAAAGATGACATTAAATCGCAGTCGGCGACTGGCGAACATCAATTTAGGACTCTGTGTGAGTCAAGACACAAGAGTCAAACCGAAATCATATTTTGTACTATTGATGGAATTTTTCCAAGTGCAGTGTGTCTGAATGTAGCAACAACTCTGAAAACATATTCTCATAACGATTCGCATGGTTCAATATTTATTTTATTTTGGTAATTTGGATGAACCAACCCTTTAACAAAGCAACAGACTCTATGATTGCACACCCACACGCACACGCACACACGCACACTCACCGTGACTGTTGCAGCGTGCGGTCTCCACCAGCCTGTTGTCCTGGTCGTAGCACACCATGGCCTGGTAGCGGTAGCCCTGTCCACACTCCTTGATGTCTCCCTGGACCTTCATCCCCAGGACGCTCTCCACTCTGCCTCCCTCGGGCAGGATGCAGTCTGACCAGTTCCCCACCGGCTGGGCGTTGTACTTGTCACAGGGGCAGTACTGCGTCTCACTCAACGGGTACATTTGCGTGTTCTTGCACTTGTCTTTCTTCTTGCTCCTCCCTGAAGGAGAGCAGAATGACAGAGATGAGCAGAACAGCTTCGGGAGAGGTGACTCTGCTGATGTTGCTTGGATTTCTGTCTCTGTACGGCGGATGAGTCTCAGCATATTTAAGGCCACTCTCAAGGCCTTTGGGATAGTCAGGGATAGTTTACTCACAGAGGAAAAAGGCTGGATGACTCCCGATGATAGAATACGCTGGCAAAATTGTTTCAAGCAGAGTGCTCTTTTACTCTAAACAGCTCGACGTTTGTTTCATTTTTTTTTATCCTCAGACATGTCGTTAATATTGCGAACCATAAATCAATGTGCAAATTTGTTTTCTTGTGACATCAAGAGTTGCTTCCCATGCAAATGAGAAGATACATCTCTGATGACTTTCTATCAAACTGCCCACAGCATATTCACCTTCAGGTGCCAGTGTCTCAAGCACGCTGTAGGTTTGACTGTAAATCTCCTTCTCTGCATTAAGGTAGTGTATCCTGCATTTGGACCACAGCTGGTTCTTGCTAATTACATCTTACGGATGCAAACTGCAGCGTAGCATGCTATAGTGTGTCTGTAAAGGTCAAAGTGACCAACAGGCAGCATTTTGCTCAATATAATGATCCATCTTTACTACCCTCTTCAATAAAACTGAGGATGTTCACAAAGTGTTTAAATGCATTAGATGACCTCTCTGCTCTTTTATACTTGGTTCAAAAGATTTCACATTAGAGTGAAATAAAAGCTTTTTAAATCCACTCCCTCACAGTTTAAAGTTGACTCCTTCCCCCCTGTAACCTCCAGTAGAGGTGTCTTAATGCATCGCAGATCTCATTTCATGTCATTTTGCTTTTATGGCGGTGATGCACAGGGAAAATGTCTGGGGACGACCTGACGGATAACAAAGGCTGAGGAGTTATTTCAGATTTGTTGCTTTAATTCCTCTAGAGCACTTGGCTGGCAAGAAGTACCTGAAGAGATTTATGACCTTGTGTTTAACTTTAGTGCTCGTCTCTTGGAGCGCTGCCCACCACCGTTACCCCGTAAGCTGCCTGGTAACGCAGACGCTACAGCTACAGTGCAAATAAGCCCGTCTGAAAACAGCAGCCCATTGTTTGTGCTGTGTCTCTCTCTCTCTCTATTCTCACCGATCAACGCCCTCTTCCTGGTGCGGACCCCCACACAGTCCGCTGTGCAGGACGAGAACTTGGACCAGTTGGTCAGCTGGCAGTCGTCCTGGCAGGGCAGCTGACAGCGCTGAGTGATGGCGGGCATGGCCTTGGCGCATTTCAGACACTCGCCGATGTCGGCCTGCGTCCCGTCCAGCTGGCGACAGGACACAGCTGGAAGAGTGAGAGGGAGATGGGTCAAAGAGGCTTCATCAGAATATAAAGTGGTTTCATCTTTTATTTGTTCCAACAGATGGATTGATTGTCATAAGACAATGACACATGGTAATAAAAGAGGTAATGAGTGAACTACAGAGGCACTGGCCACACTGTGAATATATATATAACTTTAAAGGCCTTATGGCAACGTCCATATTTCTATTTACTGTTACTGTATACTGCTACTCAATACAATTCAGATATTCAACTATTTACTATTTATTTCACATTTTATATATAAAACACACAAGCAGCTTTTGAAATATGGTGCATAATGTCAAGTTTAATATAATTAGATTAGAACAACACAACTGTATATAAACTAGTTTTACAATTAAAACATTTTAATACTGTTTCCAAGTAATTGCATCTATGTGTGTTAATAATCCAATGAGAGGAGCCGTACTTCTACTTTTGACTTAGTTTGACATTTGGGGACCAAAGAGTTAGGTGAGAAAGTCTGAGGCTCACTCATTTAATAGTCCAGCACATAACCTCCCATTAAAGCACAAACAACATCATTTGAATTAGTGAACTTTGGAAATGTTGCAAGGCAGATTTTCTTAGTTTTGGATGTAGCCAGGCATGCTGTTTCACCCTGTTTCCTGTCTTTATGCTAAGCTAAGCTAACCTGCTGCTGTCTGAGTAATACCAATCTTCTCATCTAACACAAAATGTCAAACTTTTCCTTTAATAATTCAAAGAAATGTGAAATGCATGATTGGTATTTCTACTTTTAAAGGGATACTCCAGTGACTCATGACACTCCTCAGAATAGATAAAGCTCACCCACAGCCACACAACACAACTCCCTGTCACGAGTTAAACGACTGTACTGCTCCTTTAAATACAGTAAGAGATCCAAAATAGTCTTCCCCCACTGGTGAGCAACATAACATCAAATAGAGATTTTAAGAGGGCGACTAAAGAGTCAATGAAAAATAGATCATAACTCTATAACTCAGATTACATCTCACAGGGAACAAAAAAACTATTATAAGCATCACAGACACAAATGCATCTCTACCTCAATTGGATTGAAGCCCACAAGTCAATTTGTGTTGGCTTGCATCATCCCATTCTTTGTTCTCTCAATAAAGGGTATTATTACTTGTGTTGCAGCAAAATTTCCTTTTCTTGTGATGCAGACGCTCTGCAGGGCTGTACCTTCATAGAGAAATCAATCCCCCCCCCCCCCCCCCGGACACTGCTATGGTTAGTGTGTGTCCGTCTGGTGGTGTGTTAGGTCACGTCTTATCTTCTGAGAGTGTGTGTGTGTGTGTGGGTGTGTGTGTGTGTGTGTGTGTACATGCTTTCAGTTCCTATGTGTTTTTTCCTTGAAGGAAAGCCTCTGTCCAGGTAAACAACAGAATACACTGTCAGAAAAAACACAGACCAGAAAGGACAGTGCGTCTTTTTTGGTTTACGTCAATGACAGAAGTGACAGAGGGGTGAAAACATGAACAGGAGGGTGCAAACATCAGGTGTCACATGGTATGATATCAGCGAAAAGCTACCCAGAATCTGGGATAGCGCTGTGGTATGTCTAAAGAAGACCTTAAAGCATTTTCATGAATAAATTGATTCTTCCGTCCATTACTGTAAGCTAGCGAAGACGAAACAGAAATATAAGCACTAATAATGGCCTTCTATAGGAGCGCGAACATAATGAAATTGATCATTCTGCGTGACCCCCTGAAATTGAATTTTTATGAAAGCCTCCCAGGACTATATGGCACATCCATCCTCTAAGAAAAGGCTTTTAAAGTGGGAGAGCCACAACTCCTTTACAGTACTTGTCACTTATGCATGAAGCCGGGAGTTTGGGCTGTCGTATGCTATAGGCAAGGTGCAGCATCTTCTCCCAAATCTCAACAAGAGACAATTGATTAAAATTTCATGACAAGAGCCCGGGGTGAAAAAAAAGCCAGCAGTGAAACAAGCCAAACTGTCAAACGAGTCTCGAGGGGCACATGATGAGCTGTGACACATTTCCTTCCCAAACTCAGGAGGATAACAACAAATGATTTAATAAAATAAAAACAACCAGAAAAAGAAAAGGAGTCTCTTGCTGACGTTTTTAGGAGTGCCGACTTCAGTTTGTGTTGCGTCGTGTAAGTGGGAGGATTAGATGTGGGGTCTGAGTAAATTGGCCTTTTCTCTAAACCCTGGCACATCCATCTGCTGCTTGGTGGCCGGGCTCCAGATGCACCGAAATGAGCAAAGATTTAATTTACGGCGATTAGGAGCGGTTCAGTGAAGATGTGGAGGGGAAATGGAGAGATTGGGCTAGATACCTCTTGTTTGGAGTCCTGGTCCGCAGGTCTCCACCGCACCGGGATGGTCCTGTCTGAGAAACCACGGCACCAGCTGGCACTTCCTCCATTTGTGTGTTTTCCATCTGGAATAAATGAGGACAGTGAAGGTATATCAATGCATCCATAGTGTTCACTATCACACCATTCACCACGCAAGAGAGTTAATAAATATACTAATAATAAATAAATATATAAATAAATACAGAAAATAAAGTGTGCATCTAGAAATAAACACATACATACAAGCAAACTGATACAGTATGCAAGTGTACAGAATTGTGTTTCTTTATATCATATTTACATATTTGTACCAGAATAAATCATTACAGAACAAGCAAATACTGTCAAACAAAACAAAAAATTGTGTGTTTGGCCGTATTTGATAATACAGGAAGATGAGGTGCGATGCTAAAAACAGCGATGCTATAAGGTCCTTGACATCAACCCTCTGATACTTTGTCAATTCAAGCAGTAAAAGCATGAAACCTAAAATCCCCGTTATCGGATCGCCGTAGAGCTTTTACCTGAACCCTGGACAGACTTTGGGGACCTCACAGTCCCTCTCCTCCTCCAGCACCTCTGGACAGTCCTGTCCTCCGTTGGATGGCAGCTGGATGATAAGACGTTTCCTTGATTGCTTTCTCTTCACAGCGTTGCCAGCTGAACACAAACACACACACCCCCACACACACACACACACACACACACACACACACACACACACACACAC